AAGCTCGTCCATTCATTACAGTGTCGTTTATGACCAAAAAGTACTTCTACCGACGATTATATTAGACAAACTTTCCCAACGTTTATTTTCTTTGTTGGCACATTAACATCTCCAACAATACACAGCTCTACAGCTATTCTCAAACACTGTTTTCTACAATTTACTTTAATAAAAATTGAAAAATATTGTTTTATCACATACATTGTTGTTGTTTTATTTATGTGACCGAGCACGTTTTTGGAGGTATGAATTACCTGAACATAATCGGCGTCACCTCTCTTAATGGTATCTTTTATTGTTGTTTCCAAGACAGGTGTTTTTATTGGATCCAAAGCTATTTGAATTCCATAAATTTGTTGTTAAGATACCTTTTGCTACTTTAATTTGAGAACAGTTGGACACAATACATACCCAATAGTATTCGGACACGATCGCGCAATTCAGATTGCAAATATTGACAAGTTTTGCCAGCGATATGTGCACCAAAGCCAAAACCAATCAAACTTACCCGTGTTAAAAAGTCCACCACGAACAACATTGCACTCGTTTAGAAATGCTACAAAAAAGTTCGTGTATAAGAAAACAATCATTTTCACTTTTGGACCAAATGTCTTAAACAAAACTGAAAACAGCTCAAACGACTAACGATTTTTTTTTTTTTCAATTTTCTACTGACAACTACCATATTTAGATACAAATTATTTTCGATATTATTACGAATGACGTCTTCTGAAAATTCCGTTATAAAAGTTGAAATAAAATTTTAAACAAAATTGGTTTTGAAACATTTTATTTGTCCACGTGAAACGGGTGAACATTGGCAATTGATGAATAATCTAGCACTTTCACTCGGATCATTTAAAAACAATTTTTATTATTGTAAATTCTCAATTGCCGAAACAATACAATTTCTAAATTAAAAAAATTGAATTGTTGAAAATACCGAGCAGATCTGTTGAATGTTATTCATTATTATCATCAAATAAATTGGTTTTATTTTGAAAGGAAAGTTTTTATTTGGTATTATTAATTATTGAGTTCAAGTTATAAGTTCTCGGTAAATAATACAAATAATTATTTACTAAATATATGAATAAAAAATGATTGAAATCCCAATTTTCACTTTCCGTTCGAGGTGACCTTCAACTATGACCGAGTTTGAAATGTAAAATTGAAGGGTTCATATGATGTGGAAATAGCTTTCAAAGTAGTAACTTTACCTAATATTTCTTAACTGAACTTGTCAACACTAGTAACTGTTTGTTTGCACATTGGACATTTATTTTGGGATTCTGGCGTATAATTCCACCTAATCCAACAAGTATGGCACATTTCGTGATTACATGATAAACGGGCATTTATCTTATTTTTGCAGCATATTGTGCATTCATCGTCGTCTGAATCGCTTGATTCATTTACTCTTACTTCAGGTTGAGTGCCCGAAAAGAGTTTGGTCCTACCAAAAGGACGTACTCCTGCTCCAAGTTGAGAGTTCAAATGAATATCGGTCCAAGCAAAATGGGTCATTTCTCTCCAGAACAATGAGCTACGATTATCCAGCGAAAAGCCAAACCTTTTCCCAATGTCATTCCATTTCGGAAAGCCATATACACCGATTAGACATTCAATCGCCTTTGTCATGGGTGGCATTATTGAAACGGTGCCAATTCCATTTTCGTTTGATGAGGCCGTTAAATATAGCCGCTTTGTAGATGTTGCAAGATGAATAAAGAATGCGATTCCGTGCTCATCATTCAAAGGATCTGAATGGCTCTGACTATCAGATCTTACATAGATATCCACATCTCCAAGTTGATCCCAGATTCCAACCTCTTGGGAAGTGTGAATTACTTGAACATAATCGGCATCACCTCTCTTAATCGTATCCTTTATTGTTGTTCCCAAGAGAGGTGTTTTTATTGGATCCAAAGCTATTTAAATTCGATAAATTTGTTAAGATACTGTTTTGCTACTTTGAACACAATACATACCCAATAATATTCGAGGACGTTGGCGCAATGTTTGTTGCAAGTATTGACAAGTTCTGCCAGCGATATGCGCACCAACACCAAAACCACTGACGTCAACCTGTGATAAGTGTCTGAGACAAAACCTTCTGTTCGAATTAACACATTTTTCGCGCACGCCAAGCACAAAGTCTCCTGCCAACTTTGCTATGTGTTCATATCGTTGGGTTGTCACCATTTTATCCAAAATCGCAACCGGTTCAGGAC